TTGTGGATGTTGGCTTGCTCCCTTGCTCACTTTCCCTATCTGTCTTAACTTTTCAAATAAATAATTGTTTATGCAATATTGAAAAGCCTTTGACTGCCCTGATGAAGCAAAAAGAAAACAATTCCATAATTCTTTTTCACAGAAAAACAAGCACATCTACAAATGCACAGTAATAATTAACTCTAAGGAAAATGCAACTACATGAAAAAAAATTAATCCTTGGATATAACTTCATAAACTTCAAACTGCCACTCATCAAGAGGCATCACTAAGAAAGCAAAGAAGCAAGCTACTGTTGGGGAGAAAATGCAAAATAGTAACCTGAGAAAGAACCCCTAACTCAGCTGTCTGAAGAGCTTCTACCAATCAACAAGAGAAAGATAAGTGCTAGGGGTCTGGATATGGGTTAATGTGTTCACAACTGAAAGCAGTGATGCGGGGTAGCTGGCTTAGTAGAAAAGCCTTAGCTTATCAGTGGACACCATTCCAGGAAGGACTGTGGAACCTCACACCCTCTAAGGCGTCTTGCCTAGCAACGTGACTTCTCACACTCCCATGTGCTACTGCTGCTGTAGCACCATCCATCAGAGGCTGAACCATGGGGGCCTCCTCCCTATCCTGGACTTTGAAAACCCGGAATTGTGAGTGAAATAAAAAATCTTTGGAAAAGTTACACAGCCTCAGTAATAGAAAATGGATTACTGCAACCATAAACTCAAATACAAAACACAGGCTAAAGACTATGACAGTCATTTCATTAAATATCAAGATTAGCTGTAAATGCACAAAAAGGAGCTCAACAGACCTGACTGTAATGTAACTTTTAAAGGTGCAAATGTAAAAAGACCAAGAATAGGAGAAGCAAGAGGGATGAGAGCTACTTGGGATGACAGAAGTGTTCTGCAAATTGATCTAGGTGGTAGCTACCCTTATTTTAAAATTATATTTCTGTTTTTAAAATACGATCTTCATCAACCAACCATTTTTATTAATAATGGGAGATGGGGAAGAAGAGGTATCAATATAAGAAAGTCTAACCTTTATCTATCTTCACCAAACACGAGAGGATGAATCAAGAATTCGTTCTGTAATCCTCACTGCAGATGCAACACCAGAGGTTGTGGAGAGGACCACTTTTCACTGCATTCATTCCGTCACCAATGGGAAGTATATTCAGTGAAAAGCTTTAGACACAGATACAAGCTACTTTTCACTAAAAGCCTTTTACCAATATTTGAGCTTTTAAACTGCAACCATTCGTTTTCTGAGAAAGTTTTAATGCTAAATGGTTAAATATGTCATTATTTATATAAACATGAGAAAGTCAAAATTTTTAGATACATCAGCAACATCTCCTACTGTGCCATCCAGAATCCACACCTCCTTCTGACATCCGATTTTTCGTCCCTTCTCCCTGGAACCCCTTTTATTCAGAGGGACTCTCCTCGTTGTGGGCTTCTGCAGTAGCCTGTGACTTTGTTGTTCAATCCAGAACAATGAGAGTTCTATGGAATAGTTCTGCACCGAGACTGTAGGATGCACGTGCACTTGGCTGCAACTGCTGGCAGCCACCCTGACACCAAGAGGGAGCAACACGCCAAGCGTAGGACACAGAGGATGTCTAGCACAGGTGAGAGATGAAGGCCTCTCTAGCTGACCCCTGACTCACACAGGCCTCAAGTTTGTTCCTTCCCTTTCATGATGACAGAAGGCAATACCATGTAATAGGAAAGCACAGGGCTGTCTGAGTCCAAACTCTGCCTTTACTACCTACTCCCTATGGGATCTGGGGCAGTTAACGTCTTCCTTACCTGTAAAATAAGAGTACTAACAGTACCTACCCCATAGAACCAGGTGAGTGAAAAACACAGAAAACACACATCAATGCACATATTCATAAATAAAAGAAAAAAAAGCTCAATATGTATTTGTATAGTGAAGACTCATTTAAATGTGTATATACAAAAACCATATGAGTTGTTAGCTATTTTTTGCTAATAGCAATTACTTTTCTTTTACCCTTAAGTCCATTTACATTTTCTATCCAAAACTAATCAATAACTTGAAACATATATAGAAATATAAGCATTCTCTTTATCATTAAGCAATTAAAAATTCAATGGCATTCAATTCAAGAACATTTGTAATCTCTAGGGCTGGTAAAATTTTGTCATTACAAATTAGATGTATTATTACAAAAAGATGAGTGAAAATGTAATTTAAAATCTATGAATTAGAAAATAAAAATGTAAAAACAATTCAGCTTTTGAAATTCCAACAACTGAAATAATCTAGAGTTAATTTTTTCCAATAACCTAGCTGAAGATGACACTAAACACTGTTAGGCAGACTTGCTGAGCATCTCACGCACTGAACAAGCTTTCTAGAAGGCCTTCCAGCTGGAACAGTAAAAGCGGGCAGACCTCTGACATAAGAATCCTTCAAGATACTGAGGGGCATGAGCGAGCAAGCTCCTTACCACTTGGCATCAGACACACTGGGAAATAAACCCAAATCTCATTCAAATCCACACATTCTAATCATGTCCCATCACTTAGAAAGTTGATGCAAACCAGGCACATGAATAGAATGAGGTGAAGTAAACAGAGGCCAAACCATGTCATATAAGCCACTTTAGCTGTGTAAATATTTATATATGCATATAAAGATCCACTTTTCTATGTACATCAAATGAAATTACATTTTAAAAATACACATGAAATGAAAAGTTTTAAAAATTTCTGCAAGGTAGAATTGGGAGTTGCCATGCAGATGGGGTTTATTTCTTCAATGAATCTTTACTGGTTTTCAACAACAAGAAGAATCTATTTTAAATTCATAAACGCTCCAAGTCCCCTCTAGGAGTCATTTTAGCTTGCACTGGGAGCAAAATCCATGCAAGTTGTCAGGTGGAGTACAGATGATAAGAATTCCAAGGTAATGGAACTGCTCACGTATGTGTGCCAGTTACCTACTGAGATTTAGTCGGATGTGGAGAAGAGGAGGTGGCCAAGGGTGCAGAAACAGGATCCACCGGAGAGGACATTGAAGGAACCTGGTCCAGCAACACCAGATCCCTGTCCCATTCCTGAGCAGGGCCACGTGGGCCGGGCTGGGCTGCTCTGCCTGGATCCCCGCAGACGCTTCTCCCAAGCACACCCAATGCCACCCAAGGTCAGGTACCCTGTTCTCGGCCTCTGGGTGTCTTCCCCTACTCTAAATGTAGCAGGCGCTTAGCATCTGCCAGTTGCCCCAAGGAAGAAAACCCCAGACGCCCCATGAGAGGCTCTCACAGCCCTCCAGCCCTCCAGGGAGTGAATTCTGTCCACACCTGCTGTCATAATACACACTTGGCCTTCATCAGATAAAAAGTGAGTTTCTGGCAATTCACACAGGCTTGAAATGCTCTGTGAGCGAAATTAAGCTTTCTTTCAGTTTATTCTGGGCATATTAACAGCTGGTGACCTAGATTAAGAAATCATTTAATATGTGAAAAAGCAGACCATATCACTACATTCCTTCACAGATGGGAAGTATACTCATTGAAAAGCTTTAGACACAGATTCAAGCAGTAACTTGGGGGGAGAAAGGGAGGTGTTATCCTCTAGTAGGGAAAAAGAAGGGAGGGAAAACAACGGCAACACTCGGCCAGTTTCCAAGGCCATCGGGTCTGTGGCCACTTTCTGGATGAGTAGCCAGGACTGCAAAAGGATGGGATGCTATGCTAATTCACAGCTGAGGGAGCAGGAGGAGGAGGATCCTGCGAGTGCAGGATGAGCTCGGGCAGATATTAAAAGAAATACAATCCTCTTACTGCACTGACAGGGAGCGTGTGTGCATGGGGGACTAGAGGCAGCCAGGCCTGGGGACTGGCAGTGGATGGGAGCTCCTCCACTCAGCTCTCAGTGAGGACAGCTAGCCCTGGCATGGGGTGAGGGGCTCACGGAGAGGTACAGCCCCTGGTCAAGTCCACCAAGCAACACAGCAAATCTGACTTCCAGTAAAATCAGTCAACCCAGCCACGTGAAAGACAACACAGCTCAGTGGATACCAATCAGGAGCTCATCAGCCAGGGTCCCTTTTCAAACACATGCTCAAGCCACATTATAAATGTCCTCTGCCTCAGGACATCAATGAAGATCTCACAGCCAAGTGAGAAGCCAACAAGCCCAGCGCCCGGTAGGTACCAAGCCTTCAACTCACCCTGGCTTCCCTTTATACGGGCTTGGCCTTCACTGGGCACAGCTTCAGAGAAGAAAAATAAGGTGGCCAATTTACTGAGAGGTCAATAGAGCAAAAAGGAACAACTAGAACTTGGAAGTAACTATATCAATATAGATAGATACATCAATTAATGCAATAAAATATCCTCCCAGCTGCAGAAATGTGCAGGAAAGAATCGTTAGGTTCAGGTCACATTTATTTTTGACCTTCCACAAAAGGACATTGATATCAATAGGCATGTAAACACACAGAAAGAAAAAAAGAAAAGTGTGTATGTGGGTCTCTGCAACTCCCAAACTGACTCCACAGCATCCTATAAAGCCGTTGGCTGCTCACAGTCCAGCCTTATGGGTGACTTTTCTGCAGAAATCGGTCATTTCTACCACACTCCAGTAGCCACGAAATCCCCCCTTCCGAGGAAGGTCGGCTGCCGCAATCTCCCGCAATCTCCTGGCCGGATCTGCGGACCGAGTCCCCGCGAGCCTGCCTGCCGGCGGGCGCGTGCAGACCCGCTCCGCTCGGGGCGTCGTGGGCAAACCGCTGCACCTGCCACTGCAGCTCCAGGAGCCAGGCTCCGGGAGAGCGTGGACAGCGGCCAGCCCTCACCGGGCCCCGGCGCTCACGCTCGCCCCGGATGCTCTCCTGGCTGCAGCTGCCACCGCACCGAGGGTAGGGCGGCCCCGCATCCCGGGGCTCCGCGGCGCGCGCTGCATCCCGAGGCTGCGGCCGCGTTCCCGCCGCCGGCCCCAGCCGCCCGCTCGCCGCCCTCTGCTGACCTTTTCCTGCGCGCGGTTGAGTCGCTTCTGGACGTTCTTGGCGAAGATACCCGTCTTGATGTCGGCCATGGCTGCGGGTCCAGAGAGCTGTGAGGAGCGGAGCGCGCCGCGGGGCCGGCTGAGGAGCGCGAGGAGGAGGAGCGGCGGGCGGCGGGATCAGCCGCGCGCGCCGGGCGAGGGAGGGGCGCGGCGGCGGCTCGGGCTTAAAGCGACAGAGCGGAGGCGGGCGGCGCGGGCACGGGCCGCGCGCGCGTGGCGGGAGCGACGGCGCAGCGAGAAGGAAGCCGCCTGCCCGAAAGCCGAGCGTCCAGGTAGTGCCTGCCTGCGGGGGCGCGAGAGCAGGTCGGAAAGGCCAGGGGAGGCCACCGAGGGCTGGAGGCCCGTCTCGTGTTTGTGGGCCCTTACAGGGCACCTGGTTCTAACTCTACAGTTGTAGTGGATACCTCAGAAACTTCTGGAGAAATGGTATTAAAAGGTAACTTTGGTGGGAAGCGTGTTGAAATCCTTGCCTGGTTTTTCCATAAGGATTTCCCCCACCCCCACCCTCATGACCCCCGCCTAGGCATGGATAGTGAAAATTTTTCACACCAAATAAACATCTCTTAATTCTGTTTTCCAAGAACTTTCTGAAGTCTCGAGGCATTGATCATATCCAGTTTCTATCTCTTCGATGTTAAGCCTTCACACTTTTCTGTTACCTGGGAGTTTGCCTTCTGAGGTAGTGAGGGGCCTCTGATTTGTGGTAGGTGGGGGAAGGGATAAGATGAAAGGGAAGACCCCAGGACGTGCGAGAGGAAGAAATGATGGCTGCTGTGTGCAGAGGGAATAGAATGGCCACTTGTCACTCCCCCAATCCTCAGCTGCCTCGCTGCCCCAAGAGACCACCTTCTGACAGACCAGCATGGCTCTCGGAGGCAACAGGGACCTGTCATTCAGGAACCTTGTGTGGCTTTCTGACTAGAAAGTTCTCTGAAGGAGCTCCTGGAGAAGAAGGGGTTGAGCCACTGCTGATACTGGTTTAAACTCCAAGTCCCAGGGTGACGGTGGTGATGGTGGTAGAGTAGGTGGGTCTTCTGCTTTGGACCTATACTGGAAGAAACCCTGGCATAGACCCTAAAACATGGCGTGTGGAACAGTCAGGACCTTGATGGGCTCCAGTAAAGGATCCAGGCAGAGACGGGCAGAGTTCTCCAGTCTGAAAGAAATAATTAGGCGTGACAAACTTGTCCAATGCTTACCTCCGTGCTCCTAATTCTTGGGTCCTGTGTCATGGTATAATCAACATAAATGCATCTCTAAATGTACACGTTCCTGTGTACCTAAATGGAATTTTGATTCCAATCAAATTATGACCACCTGTTATACTTACCTCTTTGAAGACTCAAATACCAAATGAAAACGGTGATCTAAGCAGAATATTATGTAAAAAGATATTTTCACCAAATAGCTTGTACATCTCAGGGGGAAATAATCAAGTATGGCTTCATAGTTAATTCTTCAAATTAGCCAGCTCTCCACATATTAATTCCACCTGTATTATTACATATATTGTCTACCAGACTACACTTCACCTTTCCTGGTTTAACTAAGTCTAAAACTAACAGCTACTGAAATACATTATTAATGAATTGCTAGTGTACACCCAAATGCTAAACAGGAGGCAAAAGCTTTGCTTTACACAAGTAGAGTGATTGACCACTAAGGAAAATAATGGCACAGTATTAAATTGCCTAATAATGATAATATAGTTCAACATCATGTTTGAAGCTTTTATGCAAAAGAGATGCAAAATAACTCCTCTACCCCAAACAACTGGCTTGAATATCATTTAATAGCTTACAAACCGATTGAGAGGTCAAACAATAAAACAAGATAGAAATTCTAATTAGACACGTCTTCCTGAAAAAACAGAGACATTCCTGTTAATTTGTATGCTACTTTCAGTCTGCAAATAAGCCATAAAAATTCCATGTGCAATGCAGGAATCAGGATGTCTGTGCTCCTGAGTACAACTTCCTAATTGCTTTTGTAACCCCAGTGTTTTATCATGAAGAATTTCCCAGTATGGAAAAACTTCATCTTTGTAATTTTATTGTCTAGATGCCCCTTGACTTCTGATGGTTCCATCCAGATAAATCTGTGTCAAAATGGAAGTGAGTTTAGTACATCTAACCTGCTTAACACTGTAGCTTAACCACCCAGTACATGTGCCCGTGGTTCCCCGTTAGGACAACAGGGATAACTGGGAGTTAACACTTCTTGCTACCTCCCAGCATTGGCTAGAGAATCTGACCACACAGTGCTAGTAGGAAAAGATCCAAATTAAAAATTCTAAACATAGTGTTCATGAATGCCTGTCACTTTCATAATATCATAAAGTTAAAAATAAATAAATAAATAAAAAAGCCCGACATGGTAGCAGCTAAAATCCCTGCCTTGCATGCACCAGGATCTCATATGGGCTCTGATTCATATCCCAGCTACTCCTCTTCCCTTCCAGCTCTCTGCCTGTGGTGTGAACCAGCAGATGCAAGGTCTTTCTACCTCGCCTTCTCTCGGTAAATCTGATTTTCCAATAAAAGCAAATAAATCTTGACAAATAATTAGTTGAGTCATCAGCAGCCAACATTTTGTTTTTATTAGCAAAGTTTTCATTGGCTCAAGGAACCTGTTTTTTGGTTACATTTGTCCATATTTATAATTTTTGAGGAATGTAATGTAACCACTTTGACTACATGGATTTTACCATGACACCTGCTACTTCAGTCGTGTTCCTCTGCCCCTTCAGGCTCCTCTAACTTGAGGACTCTTCCAAAACTGCTCCAGGAGTTATGGCCACTGGCACAATTAAGGAATTGTCTTGCACTTTGGGATCTTTAATATGTGGCATCCAATCAGAACCCTCACTTCATCCAAAGGCCTCATTAACAAGGTAACCTCACCCTGCCCACCTCAGGAATATATGTTATGCCTCTTCAGTCAGGAAACCTAAACTATCATGTCCTCCCTTGTTGCAAACATAGGCCTGTAATAGAGTCAAACCTTTCTACGTGTTTTCGTGTCTAAACTTCCTTCACTACCTCCACTTCTCTAAAGACCTCCAACACGTTTTTGCTTGGATTCAGCCCCATAGCAATCAAGGGAGCTCCTGCTACTCTTCATTTGCTTGCAACAGGTTGGCATTAAAAATCAAACTGCAAGAACAGTCAACAGACAGGTTTAGTACCAATCTTTAATAGACTGGACCATTTCCCTAAATTTCTGGTACCTGGCAACATGACCTCATTTGGAAATAAGGTTTGACACAAATTGTGATAGACCACATTGGAGTTGGGCAAGCACTTCATCCAATATGATGAATGTTTTATGCATAAGAAGAGAAGATATGTATATATATATATACACACACACACACAAGACAAACTAAGGGAAGATGGCCATCTAATAACAAGTAGACACTGGAGTCATGAAACTGTTTGCCAAGGAACACCATTCACTGGAAAGCTTAGAGAATTATCCCAGCTCGCATGGACACCTTGACCTCAGACCTCTAGAACTGTGGGAGAATTGGTTTCTATTTGGTTTAAATCACCCAGTGTGAGGTCCTTGGTTCTGGCCTGCCTAGGAAACCAATAAAGAATCCAGGCTATTTCTTCTTCTCAAAGCAGGTTTTTTTGTTTTGTTTTGTTTTTTTTTTTTTAGAAAATGTATCCCTCAATCCAAATAATTAACAGATCTCCAAACACAAGCTCTTCATTAGCTGGAGCAGCCTGTTCATCTGTTGCTTTCTTTTGAAACTGTGTATTTTTGTAAATGTTAGATTTGTCCTTATTTTCCTTCTTAATGAAAGGTGGAGAGCAGGAGCTTCCTACTGAGCCCATTGCAAATTGGTTTCTCTGTAGACACAGGCTGAGATGAAATTTGGGAACAAGTTTTTTAGAAATCAATGAGTGAGAAAATGGGGAGGAGTAGGGTTGGCAGAGGAAGAAGTTCAGCTGCAAGGCAGGCCCAGCTGGCAGAACGTTGTCATAAACACCGTCCACAGAGCTTTGCCTGCCAGCTGCCATAACTGGACTTTTATGTCCTGCCCGCAGAGCACCAGATGCTTGTAGTCTAAGGAATGGTGTGGATTCAGGCCATGCAGCTCTCTGCTGCTGGGCTCTGGCAGGTGGAGGCTTCTATGGCCTAATGAAAGGATAATCTGGCCAGGGAGACTGTCTTCTACTCTGATTCTGACGTGCATCTCCTAGGATGTCTAGTCAGGTGGTCCCCAGTTTTCCCCCAAATCCTCATCTCTTGTTTTTTCACCCTTTGTCACAGTTTGAATATAATACAGCTCCTGAAGTCAGGAGGAACTTAAATTCTAGAATCATGACTTGATGATTCTAGAAGTTTGGAAACATAATGCAGTTACAATGTTTAGGAGGTGGGCCTGCTAGGAGGTCTACGAGTTTCTGGGGGTGTGCTCTCAGAAGGGAGTAATCCTGGGGGGTGTGCTCTCAGAAGGGAGTAATCAGGAGAGCTGAGCTAAGCCTCTTCTCTGCTTCCTGTCTCACTCCCTGATTTCTCCTCTGCATGGCCCTGCCATCTACCATGGGGCCACTGCCAGGGCTTACATCAAACCATTTGAACTTTCAGCTGAAAAAAATCATCGACTGAACAACCTCTCTTTCCTTCCTAAGTAGCTCATCTCAGGTGTTTTGTTGTGATCATGAAAAGCTGACTACAACACTCTCCTGCCTACACCAAGACATTCCTAGAGGTGTCATAATACTAAGTTAATCCTACTGTCAAATTGCAGACTTTCACGTTTGAATTTGGTCCATTTGCTTCTTTCTATGGAAGGATTCAGTTATGGTCACCTGTCTTGGCAGGTTTCTCCACAGAATAACTATCATCCTCCCACATTTATCATAAACTTAAAAGGCTTAAGGAGATCCCTTTTCTATCACCTAATTTTTTTTATTCAGCTAGAGTTACTTTGAAGCTATATAAACACTGCATCTCTCAAGCTCTCCCTCTTGCAATTAAGTATTTACGATGATTCCTGTCTAAATCTGATTTTTTTT